CTCTACCGGTGTAATACTTAGTTCTTTACAAGTATCATTACCAAGTTTCGACTTGATAATTTTGGATTAATTGGGACTTGTTAATAATCAAGGTAATATATTTGTAATGTTTTAGTCAGTAGAAAGTTAAACCTCTGAAGTTTCATGACTTTCTGTGAGTTATTTCTTTAGAGAACAAAATTTAGCTATGAATGACACTAACGGAAGTTCAAATAGTTCAAAGGAGACAAAGCAGAATACTTTTAGTACGATTAAAATTAAAATAGATCTGATCATGTTGATATTACCATGTCATTTCAGTGAGGATAATTTTTTTCGTGAGTCTTAGTTGTGTGTAATTGTGAAATAGATGGGTTAGGAATATTTGTGCGTTTGTAAGCGGTGTGAAATGTGAATAGGATAGGTTTTCCGAATAAATGGTTCATGGAGTTAAATGCTTGTCTGAATAAGTTTGGGGCCAAACAGATTTTCGCATTGAGCAGATGCTCTGATTTGAAATAAACATATTTATTTGAGTGTTAGCTTGCGGTATTCAGCTCCTCAGATTCACGATCTTAATCACTACATGTAAAACTCGTTTTGGTGTGCTCTTGAAATTTTAGAGAAATTTCCTCTATGTGAGTATTTCATTCTCTTGTTGTTGTTGGTGTGTACTTATACTTAGTTTTGATATCGGTCATTTGTCATTATTATTGCTGTTTTGTTTACAGTTATCGATTTAAGATGGAGTTGTTGACGTCGATAATGTTCTGAGTTTTGTTCCGTTTTCGTTTCAGTTAACATCCTTGAAAATTTCGGTGGTCTCCATAGTGGAAATCTTGTGTTTGATTGATCCTGTTTGTATTTTCCATTGTTTCCGTACTTGGTAGAAAACAACTACGTTTCCATAATAGCAAGGGAGAAGGTTTGCTCGTATTAGGTAATTATACGTTTTTTAACTTCCAAATATAATCGTTACACTGTAGTGATTGACTGCTTCTACAACTCGTCGGGCCATTTTGATCTTGTCCTTTTTCAGGAGTAACCTTGCTTGTAACTTACATTTAACTCATTTGTGGCTTGTCAACTTATTATATCCTGCTTTAACTGTGCATGGTATAATAGATCAGCGTGTGAAAAGTTGTTGTACTCCGTAGTTTCGCTGTCGGAGAAAATGCTGTTGAGGTGCACAATATTTCATTTTATGCCTATATTTATTGTTTCAGTGCCACATCAAATACTACATTTTACGTTGTTATACAAGCCATATCAGTAAACCTCGCCTTCTAAATACTTTAATTGAGGCATGTAGTGACAGGATTGTTGAAATCATTGAGGCTTTCGGATGTAACACGTATTGCGTCGCTTTACAGGTGATCGACGCATTTTTTCTTGGGGAATGATGGGACATCGTATCTAATTACCTCCTCACATTATAAGGTCAAACGGCCTGAAGGAACAAAACTTAGTGTGAATAATCAATGTTCCACAGTATCAATCGCGCAGCTCTGTTAAAAATAGTATGTGCTGAGGTTTAACAAATACCATTTTGAGGTGTATCCTCACAAGGTCTTTTGAGACGAACACCTGTGCAGCTGCCGTATTATAGCCGTTGCGTTTTAGCTTATATACGAAGCCACCTTATTACGGCAGCCTGTGAGAGTGCTCTAACAGACATCAAACATAGTAACAGATACCGACATACAACCTGTTGGACATAACTTCCACGGATGCACGAACAAAACAGCCTAGGATTAATTGTCAGTCATGACTTGAAAGCAACTAATTACTGCAATGTAGGAGTTGTAAAAAGGTTTTCGAGTGCCATTATCGATTCGTGGGGCCCTCATATCCCCTGGTAAAGATGCACTTTGAACGTCACTTCCTACCTTTGTGAGTCGTTTCTTAGAATGCTGCTTTCAAGCAGTAAGCTCATTTTTTATTGTGAATGCTGATGTATTTGAGTGGGCTGAGTTTAGATTCTAAGCTAGTGACAGATTTTTGCTACCTATTATATGGCGATAGACTGAAAGATTGGAGTCTTTCCCCCACTATTTTATCATAAAACTTGTTGTGACGTATTACTGACACTAATTTGTGTTTTAACATGTCTAACGTTTTTATTCTCTCCGTAACTAATCATCTCCGAGGCGATCACAAAAGGGTTAGAAAACTGAAATGGAATCACAACACGGAGAGATTTTGTTTTACTCTTCCAGTAGTCGATAAGTACGTCCCTCCACCTAAACAAACAGTATCAACCCCACAGGATAATGTCTTCAAGAAGGAACAGAATCTTAATTAGAAATTGTTTTGTAATGGTTAATAGAGGTTATCTGTCCTACTATTCAAAAGAATAGTGACATTTAGATAGGATTTAAATTTTTAATTGAGTTATGTTTTTCATGTTAAATACAACTCTGAAATACTATAAAACACTTGATTTCATTGATCTATCTGTCTGTAATCTCTTGGAAGTCGTCATCTTTATCTGCTAGGATCCATGTTACTCCACCAATCTCGTTTGTTCAGCATCAAGGTGTGTAACTCAACACCACTAATAAAAAAAGGAAAACCATACTATCCCAAAGGTGTGAAACTTGCAAGTTTATGAATGCAGTGTCTTGGTTATCTACAACTAATTGTATATCCTTCGATAATCCCACCTCTAAAACGTCCCCGGGGCGACTGAGAGTAATATTAAACTATACTGAACTGACAGAGTTGATACTGCATTGCGCTCACCAACTGTTTACTATAAAAATAGCACCAGAACAAAACATACAAGATCTGATCAGCAAGGTATTCAATTCATATACAGCCAAATTAAGCCGTTCACTTTTACTACACGGGGCTACTGAAATGAATGAACAGACGAATTTTAAGCTGCTTCATGATGGTGATCATTGGCGATGCACCTTGGAAGTAATCATACTAACTTATCCACTCTCCAATGCAGACACAAGAATTTTCAAACCGATTAACCTCGTCTCCCAATAAATAGCCAAGTCACTTCAGATAGCGAGGGTCCAACCTGACGCAGAAATTTCAACCCTTCAGCCCTGGAATAATAAATATCCAACTTTATCAAATGAAATTAAAATGTTTACTGAGCAGTTCAGCAGGGAGTGCCCAGAATTTGTTTAACTGCGCCTGAGGAATTAGGTATGTATGTAAACCTACACAGGTCTATCGAATCTCACCATTTCCAAAACTTAGAAATGCGAGCGTACGTAATGCTTCTGAAGTGACCAACTTGTTAGTCTTGAACCTTTTGAACATGTCCATCATCCCCTCACATCATTCTGATTGAACAAACACGGCTACGTCAGTGTGATTGAATCACAGAATCTTCCTAGGAACACCCTCATCTAATCCGTTCATCGGCAAACTTTCCTCTGGCTGTCATGTACAAAACCCTCTAGGCAGTCCCGCTGCCTAAGGTTCGGTGTCCACATACTGTAAACACATTGTCTGTAACAACTGTCGTCGTCCCACTGACACAAATGATAAGTCATGCTACAAGGTATCACCCAGTACATGTACTAAGAAGATCAAGTAAGATAAATTAGCTTAGTAAAGTTGGAGGTCCGTATAAATCTGAACCCTCTTGACCCCAACTCACTAATTGTACACAACCCCAACAAGGTAGTTGCTAGGCCGTTAGTCGATAAGTTTCGATCCAGCCATTTCCAGTCTGACGCACCTCTGTGTACACACTGCTGTTCCACTCATTTCCATGACTCAAAATATAGATTTTGTAGCTTTCAAAACTAAAGTAATTATGGGGCTCTTGACCACACAAATTTAGCCGGATCTTATAGTATCCAACCCATGTTCCAATGTGTGGACTCTCTACACTTCTCTGTTTAAGTGTTCCTTAGTCAAGGTAAACTACCCCTCGGCTGGAAAAATATCAGTCTTACCTTCACACAAAGAATGGAAGAAAGTGGAAGTTTATGATCTCCAACCTATTTCAGGGAAAGACGTGCCAACTAATTTTTCCATAACTTCCTTCTCAACAAATCTGTTCACTCGAAGTCAAAATACGATAACCTACGTAGTAAAGAACCCGTTAACTTAATGCAGTAAGTAGACCACTTGACTGAAACGCAAATGTCCTGTCTGTATTTGTCTCCTAGACTTCTCCAAAGCATTGAACGGGGTTGACTATCATATTCCGTCTTAAAAATCGGATTATATGTGTATATGTGGATGTCTAGCGGTTTAGTCCTCGGGTTACATAAAAATTAGATCACAAGCTGTCGGAGTTTACTCCACTCTATCAAATTAGTTTTCAATAACAAATGAAGTGCCACAAAGCCTAATCTTAGGGCTTCCGATCCTATTGTTTAATAATGACCAACCTAATTCTTCGGACTCAAACTTTCCTGTGTGCAGATGATCTTAAGAACTAGAAAGGACTAGTTTGCTTAGCCGATGTCTTGACTCTAAAAATGCCTACACCGGATAAATAACTGCGCCATCACAAACCTTGGTTCCTTCAATACCAGTAAGTGAAGAATGGCAATGGTGAACGGCGGCGATACTCCAGCCATTATATACTGCTTGGTAGATTCCGGAATCGCATTTTGCACCGGTGAACTGGGCTTGCTTCATTAGTATAATTCAGGTGAAAGTAGTGAATGAATAACCCCAACGAACATTTAAGCCAGCAAGAAAATAGTTTCTGATCCTTAAACGATTTAAAATAAAAAGCAATAGATTTGTATTTGGCGAACATTTATAACATGAGTTATTGGGCTTTTCATCACAAGATGACATCATCTAGATTGCAAAGATGAAGTCCTAGCGGAGACCTGATTAGTTCATTCATGCTCTTCGCTTTTAGTATCACTTCATTTGCTATCCTAATTGTTTTCTTCTTCACTTACAGAAGAAATATAGGAGTGGTAATAACCCCTTGTAACCAAGAGCGCTATCTCAAAGAACAGACAGCTCGTTAATTCTGTCAAGAAAAGTTTAAGTCGACGGTTGAACTTTAGAGGTTGATTTGCGCCGTCAAGGTCGTTTGGTCCACTGATACGGTTTCCCACTGCAATGTTCTCTTCAAGAAAGGTTTTGTAGCTAATGAGATTTCAGTGATTAGGATCCGATAACAGATTTGTGGGACACATTTTCTTTTACTGAACGTTACCGCCACGTACAAGCCCTCTATGCAATAACATGAGGGTTGCTAAACAGTGTGAAGAATGAGAACTATGATTTGCAGTTGGCTAGGGTTAGGACTTATATCTAGGGTTTTCATCACGAGATGATGTCATCTAAAATGTCGAAGCTTTATTTAACCAAATGGATGAATCAATGTCGCACGAAAATCCGAGTCTTGTTATCTTATGTCTAATTGGTTTGTCCATAAATTATAGTCTCATCGCATTAGATGCGCTCTTCACAAGCTAAATCTAAAAAGATCGATGTTCTTTCGGAAAGTAGACATTTTCGGAATCATGCTATTTTCACTCCCTCCTTTCTATGCTGTTCCACTGTCTTCCAAAGATCAAAATGCTGGTTCATTGTTGGTACATCACTTACTGTTCGTCAGTACTGGAGAAAGTTGAAGGAGAACTGTTTCACGTCTTTATAACCAAAAATTTTGGTGCACTCAGAAATAAGGAGGATTTTTGTTTCAACAATCACTTCCGTGCATCGGTTAGTAAAGTGAACAGGTAAAACTCCCATAAAGCACCAATTTATTTTCCATTTGAGCCTCATTGCAGGAAGTCGAATCACAAAGGTCATACATTACACTTTCTCAAGCTACTCATTCACAGGAAAATTTTGGAGATACTGCATTGGACACATTAAGAAAACAAAATCGACAGTATTTTCAGCATAACACCAACGATTCAGAAAAAGTTATGGGACATATGTACTAGTTCTTTGTGATTTCCTCTTACCTATTACGTGGACTTACTAAACCTGACTTTTAAGCTCCTACGGGGTCTAAAGAACTAGACAACTCATGGGGTGGTGCTTTCAGGGCGTTTGTTTTCGAATGCTAATAACCTACGAATATATTCAATCCTCGAAGACTACATGTTACAGCCATAAATTAGCATAGAACAAACTGCTGATCATTAAGATTTTTTTAGGATTTTCCGTGTGTTCTAATTTACAGTTCGATAGTGAATTCAAAAAGATTTTCTTACGGACTGTAATGTTTTGGATGTCTTAACAGGTATGATAAAATACTCAAAGTATGTCGCAACTTGCACTTAACATTTAGAAGTTGACTCCAATCGGGATATAAATAAGGCATGTTTTAGATGATTTTATCGTTTCTCTCTGATGCGATACATTAGATACTGTGGTTGAGTAACGTATTGAAATTTCCTTCATATCAAAGTAAACCAGTCTAAATAGGACTAAAGATTTAAGGAGTATTCGGGACTATCATCTTAGTGTCTAAGAATTGTTGTTAGGTGATACTTAAGCTCAGCCTATATATCTTCGTGACTGTACTGGATATTGTGGTTTTTTTGTTATGTGACCTGAAGAATTGTTTCAAAACCTGTCACGCAGTTGCTTCAAGCATTTGTAAAGAACACTTCTTACCTTGCCCTTTCGTATGGTACTCGTATTTTTGCTGTCTTTTCTTCTATTTCTACATTTAACGTCATACAACTTTTGGCTCTACCTAAATTATTTGATTAATCTAAACGACTCCACCATAATCAGCAAAGCGAATCAATGTAGGGGGCTTTAGGTCACTATATTATGGTAGGATATATTTTACTTTCTCTTTGTAGTTTCCAAACTTACCTCCTTTTGTTGTTTTCATAATAGGATGGATGTTCATTGTGAAATGAATCAAGAAGTCGATTCCAATTATCCAAATTCGTACTCTAAAGAAGTTGAGGAAGCGCTTTCCCGGCTTAATTTAAAATCAGACAGTTTAGATGATCCTGATTTTAATGTTATTTCTTATATTAATGAGGTTAACTTACTACAAAATGTCTATGACATATTTTTTAGAGATTTCCCAGCGAACAGTCACTGGCAAATATAGATGAGTTGATAGCTGAAGCGGAAGGAAAAATTCGCGAACTAGACGATGAGACTAGAGACCTACTACGTGGTCGCTGGCAAACAGAGGATAAAGGACAAGAGATTGTTCAGGATGCAAAGAATATGATAAAAGTACTATTCTCTAGGTTGGTTTGTATTTATGTTGGTGTGTAACTTGCAGATAAATTCATATTTAAGTAAATACCTTCATAATCACTAGCTCGTTTACCAAGTGGTAGTTTGCGTACCATACTTTGAACCACGTAGTGTGAATACAGGTGATACCACTTGCCTCACGTGTCCAAACTGATGACTGAAAGTCAAGTGTTAGAACTACCAATCCATCACTGTTATGATGGTATGGCCGAGAATGGGGTGGGCCCGCCCTCCCTCTCGAAATTCTCTCACACAGCCACGCGTATACAGCCTCTGCCAGGGAAGTCTTACTCACTGCCTTCTCGTGGCTGGGGTGTTTACAAAAATGAGAGGATGAAAAGCGAATGTCCGGCGCTTTAACCGGATTCCAAACCAATGGTGCACATGGGCTCCAGTATCCTGCGGGAACAAATGGCGTATGAACCAATTGTTGATCACCGGCTACCATGGGACTGTATCCCCTGACGTTGGTTCACTGCCTTGTGGGTCAGACGTTTAGGTCAAAGGCTCGTGGTGTGGCCCCCTAAGAAAACCACCAACTTCGGTCTGGACACCCGGGCAGTATCACGGCCCACACACACACAAATATGGTGTGGCACTTATATATTTGGTGCCCTCTTGTACCAATATTTATGTGTTGAAATAAATAAATAAAATGATATTCAACATTAAATTTCTCCCTCGATGTTCTATATATCAATTCATCCTTCCACTTATGTATAAGGGGTTTTTATGAGTATTATACCATATATTTACCTCGTGATGACTTTCCTAACTAGTGTTACTTGACGTTTAATCAAAAAATTCACAAATTTAGATAATTGTTTGTGTATTTGAAATAACTTGCTTGACATGTTGAGCTGTTCTGAATACGTGAAAATGAGTGATTTAATGCCATAGTTACATGAATCAGGTAAAATCTGTGTTTTCAAGTAATATTGGTATGACACAAGTTTGATACCTCAGTGTTGCCATTAGGTGACTCGTTTTGCATGCAAGTTTGTTCCTTCTTCTTAATGAAGCTTCCAGTTCTGTCTACATTTCATATGAAATGCACCTATTATTTTACATATCAAACAGACCCTAAGTAATGTATTTAAGTTATTGAAGTTGAAACCACACGGCTTACCTCTCAAGTACTAGCTACTGTTATACTACAAAAATGTTGTGCGAAAGATCGACTGGTAGGGAGCAGGATTAGTCTTATTTTCATCCTTTGCCGTTAAATCGTATTACGCTTTTTATCAAAACTAACTTAGCTTCTTTGAGTTAAAATATACTCAGCCAGGGTTTGTCAAACAATAATTTTCGTCGAAAGTTTACTGACATTTGCAAAATTTCGTATTGGAATAAACTAGTTACTTTCGGGACACAACTATCTAGGGATTATGCTAAACCTCCTGAATTTACCATAGTTTGATCTGTTTACTTGCAGCACTTCAGGTTTGATGGAATTCCATAGTGAGCTTTTTAATTGCACGGTGATAAAATAGATACATAACTCTCTTCTACTCATTTGATCATCGATTTGCGTAAGTATGGTGTGTGGTTTTTACCAAATATGTTTATTACAGACTAATTTCGTATCTAGGTAGTTCCTTGCATATATTCACCAGGAGTTCTACGTGATTGCTCTCAAAGTTCGATGTATTTTACTGATCATAGTAATGGTGGATTAAACATAGTCAGTTTACAAAACTAGTTTGTTTGCCTCCTATATTTTTCCATATTGAACACTATTAGTTTGCAAAATGAGTGTTTTAAAGAGGCAGAGAATAGATTGTCTAATAGTATCATAGCGTGGAAAAAAATCATAATTTCACCACTTCAGTAGTAGTCTGTGACTTCAAATCTTTGCGAAGTTTTCATGAGTTATGTGACTCATTTCTAAATGTTAAGGTTGTTTTAAACAAGGTACTAAACTAACGTAATTTTATGTAGTACAATGAGTATTTCAGCCGTCAACTCAAGTAGATATCCGCCATATGGTACTATATGCATTTACTTCATACGGTAAAAATGGGCTTTTAGCGTTATATCTTCTGGTTTTAAAACGAACGCCAATAACTTTTTATTTACCGAGTGTCAGACACATCTTCAGGACCATTATTTTTACTAATATGTTTACCAGTATACTGATGATGTATCATAACATACATCATTCTCTTGTGTAATTTTATCCTTAGTTTCTTAGTTATTACTATTTGAAAAATATGTCATGAAAATAATCAAAATGTGATTTCTTTCATTGTTATGTTATTTTAGTAACTTAACAGAGGAAAGGACAGAGTAGTAATGTTATCGCTAATATTACTACCACTTTTTATTGTTCTACTCTATTTGTCTTTAAGCAGAATTTTCAGTAAAAAAGTCATTGTGCACTTCATCTTATAGAATACAGGATGTTCAAGATCGAGCTACTAGATCAGAAGAAATGGTACAAGACATCACTCGGGATATACAGCAACTTGATCAAGCTAAGCGTAACCTAACTGTTTCCATAACTGCCCTCAATAATTTAATTCTTATCGTGAACACCATTGATCGTCTGAACGAATTACTTGGAATACAAAGTTCAGTGGATGATCCAATGTTTTTTGCGAAGAGCAATGACACAAATGCCAGTGCTCAGAATCCATTTTTAGAAGTTGACTCTGGTAATTTTGTTACACTTCAATTTTACTAACTATTCTGACAGGAATATTGTTTTCTCGTTATATATATATAGCTAGTCAGCCAATCAGTGTACCGGTTCAAGTTGCCATGTCCCATTAGCACAGCGATATGAAATTGTCAGACTAAATCTCAGAATAGTAGAGGTAGTAACAGTATTAGTGGTAATAGAAAAGATTGGGCACCGAATATACAATTCAAGAAAATTTAAATTAGCGAAATAAAAAAAATTATGAGGAATTCATCAGCTTACAAGCTGTGGTAAGACAAAGAGTGGACGGACCTGCGACATTGCAAACGATTTTGACACAGGTCATTCGAAGTCTCTGATCACTGATTGCGATAATCACGCGAAGCCCAGCTAGGTAGTCTATAACTGTTTTCATGGCTCAGTCAAATCTTCGATGGCTTCATGGACTGGTGCCGTGTTTTGGTTTGGCCGTCCTTAGCTCTTTTCCAGCATACTCTTACACCAGACAACAACTCTCATCAAGGTAAGGGGTGGTTGGGCACACGTAACACATGTCCCAACCACCTCAGTTGATGAAGATTCACTACCTCGTCAATCGATTGGCCACCCTTACCTGATAATTTATTCCTAACCCCAGACATTGCTTACTCGGTAATCCCAAGATACATGAACAATGCTTTGAAGACACCTATGATCGAATACTAGTAACCTACGAATATCCTTTATCCTTAATAGTAATGTTTCACACTCTTGAAATAGAACAAGACAAACTGTTGCGCAGTAAGCTCGTCCTTTGATTGGCAAGCAGATATCTCCCTTACACCACAAGTGACAGGAGTTGACAAAATGCAGTCGGGCTTTCTTAATTTGTAACGAGACTTCGTCAGACACCAGCCGACAAAGACTGGTGAAACACCTAAGATAAGTGAATTAATCGACACACTCGACTACACCGCTTCTTATCATTGATTGGGGTGCTGACGCGGACCGGTCCTAAAGCAAAATTTTGCATTTGGAGGGAAGGAGTTTCATCCCAAACATCCTTTCACTGTTGCTTTAAGTGTTTGGAAGACTGAATCTTATCAGAGTCCTAAACGAACAGAGTTACATTATCTGCTTATTCAAAGTCAACGAGTGAATCTCTCAATAGACCAACCCTTGAAAACTCAGACAATGAGAGCGTTATCTCTCAACGAATATATATGACAAAGTCAAATAAACATGGAAAGTCGGGCAACCCTGGCAAACACCACTTGAAGTTATCAATTTCAATAACAGGTCGCTTTATTAATGTAAGGTTTAGCAATGCATAAGTTTGCTATTTTATATAAATCGATCAGCAAATAGTCTGTTTACTTTTATGCATGAGGAGGGAGCAATTTCATAATAAAGTAGCGGAACTTACGCAAAACAGCCATCATATTGACTTAGACAGTTTGTTAGAGCCCAACAAAACGTTGCATAAACACGCCATGGTAGACTGGCATCGGATGCAAAACGATAATACGTTAATTTACATAAATCATTTGAAAGGAATGAATCGCCTGAAAGTCGCTTCGAACTTCTTAATGGAGTTTGAAGATGTCCAGCGGATAACATTGTACTTGTATATGAGCTGTCAGGAACTGGATAGTTTACTGACTGTTTGTACTGAGTGGAGAGCAAACCGACGAACCTCAAATGCTTTTCAACTGCCTTAAAAAACGGGACAATGCAGTATAAAGAAGTGGTTAAGATGATTACCAAGTAACAATTGTGTTTAAGCCATCCACGTAAGTGTTTTGAGAAAGTATTAAAACACCTAAAATTAATTCTCATGGGTACCGTTTCACAGGACATCAGCTTGAACTCTTCATAAAGCACATTTTGGTTAACATGGTAGTATTGTTTCCCATCACATGACACATTTGATTCACATAACAGTATAGAGACCAGTAATTACGTATTGAGCTGGATTACGATTGCTTAGTAATAAGATTAACGTCAGTTTTCTGGTTAACGGGATTTTTATGACAAAAGCTTTCCCTTGATAATAGCTGTGAGATAGGTGTTGTTCCTATAATACTAAAAGTCAACAAGTGAGTTTCTCAATAGATCAACCCTTGAAAAGTCAGATAATGAGAGCGTTATCTCTTAACGGATATCTATGACAACGTCAAATAAATATGGGAAATTTTTTTGACAAAGATCATGAACCGATCAATGGTTTCTCATACCGTCGAAGGATATTTCTTCTTGTGGGACCTGAAAAGGTAGCTGAGTTAGTGGTGGTCTTAGTGACCTCGGAGAGCGACATCAATGTACAACTGCCTGAGGTCGGTCGTGCTCTACATTGTTGTGGCCTCCATATGCCCTGGTACGGCCGAGGGTGGGGAGAGTCAGCTCTCCCTCTGGAAATGTTCTCACATGGCCACGCGTATATAGCTCCTGCCAGGGCAGTCCTACTCACTGCCTTCTCGTGGCGGGGGTGTTGTTCACGAAATTGAAAGGACGAAAAACGAATGTCCGGCGCTTTAACTGGGCTGGTGGACACCGTGAGTTGACCTAGGGGAGTTGGTAAACCCTGATTCCATACCAATGGTGCACATGGGCCCCAGTATCCTGCGGGAACAAATGGCGTATGAACCAATCGTTGGTCACCGGCCACCATGGAACTGTATCTCCTGACGTTGGTTCACTGCCTTGTGGGTCAGACGTTTAGGTCAAAGGCTCGTGGTGTGGCCCCGTAAGAAAACTACCAACTTCGGTCTGGACACCCGGGAAGTGTCATAGCCCAAACACAAATAAAATGAAATGAAATGACGCTTTTTGTGAGTAGTTTTTGTTATGTTAGCTCCGCAATTTAAAAGGCCGTACTATCGGAGATGAAAATCCGTGGCGAGATGACATCACTACAGATACTGGTTGTTTAAGGGAAAACCCTTGCTGCTGTCACACCTGCTACAGCCACCAATGGGACTTCGCGCTTGAACCTTAAGTTACTGCCTTTAACCAACCCGCACGGCATGGTGGAACTTGAAGGAACATGTGTTCCAGCTAATAAATCTTAGTTGATTCATCATTATGGGCAAGGCTGACCATTAAATCAAGGTACCAGCTGCGGTCAGGATATTTGTATATATATTTATTCATGCTACAAGAAAAATCTTTATACGAAATCCTTCATATAAATTCGTCGGTGCTTTATTTCTAATTAGTAAACTATGTCTGTATTTCATGGATGGATCGTTTCCTCCAAAGTTTAGGTGGTATTTTACACTGGTTTAAGCCCACCAGTATCATTGTTAACATATTTATAGAAGTGACCGCTATCTGATTTAGATAGATAATATTTAGGTTCGCTTCTGTGAAAGAAAAGTGGGTTTGATATGGATAGATAATCGTTTTTAATTGTGAATACCTTCCTCCTATACAGAATGCTAACTGATTCGTTTACTGGAATGAGTCTGGAAGTAAGAACATAGAGTATGTACCCATTCTTTGTATAACATTACTTAGAGATTTCAAACCTGATATTCAGTTATCAAGTTCGCTTTCACTTCAACCATTTGTTTGTTAGTAGTTTTAGCTGTTACCCTGAAAGTAGTCATATTTGTGACGAATTTATTTATGTAGTTTCTGAGCCCCAATATTTTTACGACGTAACTAGAGTCCAACCACATATTCTCATTAAAATTATTTTTCCTATTTTAAATAAGAATCCTGGATGAATGAAAACCATCCACCTGAAAAAACAAAGTTTCAAAGATTTGTACCGTCCTTTTTGGCCGAAATATCAAATTTATTAGCTCAAGTTCAACGCTTATTACAACCTATGCTGTCAGCCTATGGTTCAGTGTCATCTGTGGCTGGATTATCTCGAGAATTGGATTCCATTCATTCAGTCCTTGCAGATCGTTTGACTAAGGAACTCAAACTGTTACTAGCAGTATGTAGATATATTTCCAAATCGTTATTTTTGTTCTTTTCTTAATGAAAATGTGTTGTAAGAAATATATAGACGTTCTGAGTTGAACCAGTTTATGTTAGGATCCATATTTTTTATGAAATGCTATATAACAAAATGCATCTTTGTGTGCTGAAACTTTTTGATAATCATTTTGTACTGGTCGTTTTTATGGAATTATACTGTTCAGACAATATTCTTGTAATAATGTGACACATTTACGGAGTTTTATGAGGGCTGGCGATACTACAATAATACTCAAATAGTAGTGTTGCGTGGTTAGAATATGCAAGCCGTGCTTTAACCGCTGTGCCATTTCTCTGTCCACATTCTTATACTCCCCATGAGCTTTCTATTGTCTGGATTTGTCGGAAGGTTCCTTTTTCAATGTGTACACTACATTTCTCAGGTTGAATTCATCTTTCAAACATTACTCAAGTAAAACAATCAATATCTAAGCTTATAGAAACGCATTTTTCTCTTTTTTCAGCTAACTCAAAGATATTCGTTTAAATAGTGCTATTAATCCCAAATTCTTAGTTTTCCTAACAATGCTCAGTGAAGGTTAGTTTGTGCTTAAGTTCTAAATGAAAATACAGAATCCATACTTCCACTTATTAACTATTGTATACCTAAACAACCGAAATTAGTTCATTTTGTACGGTTTGGGTTGACTGGTGAGCTATGTTTTTCTGATAATTCTATGACCTTATTAGGTACTCTTTTTTGTAATTGGTTACATTATTGTCCTCTCAGTTAGGAAGATCAGATTTTTTTTACCGAATATCCAAACTTCTGTAACGAATTCCTCACTGCGGGCTGGTTATTGGTACTTTTATTTGTCATTCTTTTATACTACAACCAGTAGCATATGATTTTCTGAATTATACGTATATATCGTCGCGATAATCTGGAAAGGGGTTCATAAATCAGTATTAATTTTGAAACAGTCATACGTTTCTTAAAGTTTACATTTTCTGTCTGGTCTACGTTTCTCATGAGTTTGACAAATAGTTCTGCGAAAATCGCTAATGTATTTCACGTTAAATTTGCCTATCAGAATCAGCTGGATTCATAGAAGCTTAGTTGCTGACTCTCTGAAATTACCTCTTTATTTCTGTGTTTTTATCAAATAACTTGATGCAGCTAAAGTCATGATTTCTATAGCAAATATACTTATCATCATGCTCTTATATATGTTAACATAAATTTATCTTTTTATCGACCAACATCTTTTTATATATATAATCTATATTGGTAACCAGTTTGCTAACTCATTTCTCTTTGTTTTCCTAATACTAGGCTACTCGAACAGTTACAGATAACAAGGAACTGATTTTATCAGCCTGTGAACTAGTTGACTTACTCCCTAAGAGTTTTCATCTCGATTCGGATATTGTAAATTGGTTTATCTCTCATCATCTAACTGAGTATAAGGAGCTATTCGATCCAACACAGACTACTGCTTGGTTGGATAAAATCGATCAGCGATACAACTGGTTAAGAATTAATTTGGTCCCCTTAGAACGTTTATTTATTTCAGTGTTTCCTCCCTCTTGGCTGGTGACTGAAAGGTAAGTTCAAATATATAGTCACCTTAGGATTAGTGTAGTACTTTATCAATGGTTATCTAAATTTATTTCGTTAAGTTTGGTAGCATAGATGTATCTTGGTATCATTACCAAGGTTTGAATTGACGATTTCGAATAAACTGCGCATTAGTTAGGTCTCAGTAATAAGAGTAATGATGGATTTGTAATAATTCAGTGAGTAGAAAATTAAATGTCCGACGTTTCGTGACTAAGGTGAAGTCGCTTGTTCAGAGAGTAAGTAAATAAATATATTAAATTTACGCAAGTTTAAATAGCACAAAGGAACTACAAAAATGTTTCCTACGATCAAAAACGTCAGAAATTTAATTTTCTACTCATTGTGTTATTACGAATATATTACCATTTTTACAATATATGTATGCAATTCCTTAAAATGATTATCGAGGTTTGAAACAAAATCAAAGTCAGACCTCAGTATTATGAGTTCCGAGCAATGGGTCACTTAAAATCATCACTGAAATCCAATCTTCCTGATAGTCATGCTAGAATCAGTTGAAAGATAGTGGTGGAGAAAAAGTTAAGCTAAGTGGATTATTTAATATATTATAACAATTTGTGCTCTACCATTGGGAGACTATCACTGAAATTTTGGTAAACAACAAATTTTAATTAGGGAAACAAGGTTCTGAAAACAAACTTCATAGCATTAGATACTGACTACATATGTTAACCCCCTTTATCTAGATGTAAGTTACCACCAATACAGGATTTATTTTGCGGTTGTTTTTCGGTAGGGTCAAAAATCACTTCTGTTCTTTTTCATGGTTGCTGCACCAGGTAAGTCACCCCGCTTTGCCATTTGGAAGGTGGAAAAGTACAGTTGGTATTTTTAAATTTTGATTATCATAAAACTTCTGAAAAGGATGGGCCCCATATTGTTAGCTGTACACTCTAATTAATAACTTAACTACTGGTGACGTTTTACTAATCTATATTCAATCACACTAGTGTGACTAGTGTAACATTATATATTCCACTAGGCTTGATCAACATCTACTGATCAAGTCCAAAAAATAACTATTTAATTGGCTTGGGATTAAAATGCACAGTATTTGATGTTGAATGATTAGGGGGTATCATCAAGCGGCTGTGGAGTTAGGTTTCAAGCCTGTCGGTGTTAATCAAAGAGGTCTATCTGGGACCTCGATGAAATTCATTTCTCTAGATCATTATACTCCCAAGATCACCAAACTATTGTCCTAAAGTACATTTCTATATATTTTTAACCTATCTTCATTTTAACGCCGTATATTTATACATTTTCTCACAAAACAAATATACATAAGGGTATACTTAACACGGCCTACACAAATTGTATTTCCGTGTTAACTTTGGTTGATACCTAAGTTTGAAAACTTGTTTATTGCCATATATACTGTACTCATTCAACTATTCCCGAAAACTCTTCATAATGATTTATGTTAACTATTTAGATTTGTTTTGGAGTTTTGTCATATTACACGTGGTGGCTTAGAAACTGTTATGAAACGACGTCAGTCGGAACTTACCCATAATCTAATTGTTTTCGCATTGCAACGCACCTTATCCTTCGAGGCCAGTTTGAATAAAGCATATACGTCTGAAGCGCTAGAAGAATTACAATCTATGATAGTTAGCGGTAAGAGTATGGAGCGTTCATCTAATCCATTTGATGATAATGAGGATGAGGAAGATGGTTTAGATGATGCACAATCTAAAAATCCTGCAGAGGCTAAGGATGATTCATCAACAAATGATTCTAAACAAAATTGGAAAAAGCAGATTTTTGATGGAATTATATCTGGGTAAGTAAGTATAAATCTTATTAGTCCATAATTTTGTGTAGTTAAATACTGTTCAGGTTACTGGGGAAATCCTCAAAATATTGACTCGTCGAATATTTAACTTTAATTCATTGAGTGAAATAAATGTATTGTATTGTTTTAGCTTCGTTTCAGCGTTGGTGTGATGTATATTTGTAGGATTTTCCATATCATTACTTTATGAGTGTCATTTCACTAGTTATAGGTTGAGATTATATAATGACCATCGTGTGTTAAAAAGCTCAAATTCCTAGTTTATAAGATCAACGTTTTCAGAACTGTTATAGTGAATCATTCAATATTTCCATGGTAAGTGAAGTTAAGAGTCTCTCTCCAACAAACTGGTTGCTAGGTTGGTATTTAGTTTCACTTCATTTTAGGTGGGTACATTCGTTATAAATAACTCACTGGCTTTCATATAAGTGTGAACATAAACACTTTAAGTGTTGTGGTGTTAATGGATCTAGAACTATTTAGAAGCAAGTTGCTGCCATTTTCAAAGCGCTACAGATGAACCTCCACTTTAATGAGAAAAAAACACGTATACACTATGATATTCAACATGGACATTCAAGTGCCTAGTTGGTACTATAATGTTGTAAATGGTTGCGCAAAAGAACTCATCGGCGAAATAAGTTATGCGTTATATTTGTAACTTAAGAGTTGATAATATCTATAATGAGAAAAAGTGGGTTGTTTTCTTTTTCTAGTATTTATTTAAAATGAACACTGTCTTCAAAGTACATTGATATCTTTTTATAAATACCTGATTGAATGAGTTTACCTTATAACATTTAGTAATTTGGCACCACTAATAAGCCAATGTTTCATCTCTTATTCAAACACAAGACGAAATTAGTAAATTCAAACCAACATTAATCACTTAATCATGTGCACTGGTTGACGTTTTTCCTCTGTTATTACATCAACCATAATATTGTACATCATTACCTATCCTTTAATAGTTTATTAGTGTTATTGAAGTATTAACCAGTCAGTTTTATTTCAGAAAACAACACCTTGGCGTTGTGATTATCATTGTGTCTGAGTTTATTTCCGCTCAATGATATATTGTAATCCTGAGGGTTGCATAATATAGATAATATTGTCCCATTATGTATTTTTTTGCCTAATCACTTTATGCATTTCTTTCCTTCCTTTTTTCTTTTTCGCCATCTTTTCTACTTCTCCTTTACATCATTCTTTTTGTCATCATTATTATTGTCAGAAAGAAGTTAGGGAAGTTGTTGGATCTCATTGAAATCACGGGCCAATGGAACTTAAACCATCATTGAAAACCCTGAAGCACTGGACGGTCGTCTCGTCCTAGTATGGGACTCTCCATCAGTGAGCATCCACGACCCCACATGCGAGAACCGAACCCGAAACCTCCGGTTTGTGTGTGAGATCGAAGGTCCTGGGTTCGACTCGCGCGTGCGTAGTCGTGGATGCTCACTGCTCGGGAGTCCCATGCTAGGACGAGACGACCGTCCAGTGCTTCCAGTTTTTCAATGGTGGTCTAACTTCCACTGGCTCGTGATTTCAATGAGATTCAACAAGCTCCGTAACTGCTTTGTGACAGTAATAATAATGACATGAAGAATGATGTACGAAGATTTCATATCAGTTCTGTATGAATTATTGTTCATAATTATTTTCAGCTGTTTCGACCAATTCTTTGACCTCTATTTGGTTCATTTGGATAAAGGTCTGAGAGAACAAATGACAAATCGTTTGATTGGTGATTTCACTGTTAATAAATCAAGTTTTGAGAACAGGGATCTTGGAGATGTATTCAGAGATGGTAACATGTTACAAATTGGTGAAATATTACTCATATTTGTCTACTTTATTATTAAGTTGTATGGATAGTTTTTTTGAAATGCTTGCATATTCTCTGCAACTTAATTTCGAAATTTTCACTTCGAAAGGTAGGTCATAGTAGGTCTATCGAAGATAGAGCATTTTCTCGTATCTGTGTACATAGTTAAATGCCCCCGAATGCCATAGTACGGCCGAGGGTGGGGAGAGTCAGCTCTCCCTCTGGAAATGTTCTCACATGGCCACGCGTATATAGCTCCTGCCAGGGCAGTCCTACTCACTGCCTTCTCGTGGCGGGGGTGTTGTTCACGAAATTGAAAGGACGAAAAACGAATGTCCGGCGCTTTAACTGGGCTGGTGGACACCGTGAGTTGACCTAGGGGAGTTGGTAAACCCTGATTCCATACCAATGGTGCACATGGGCCCCAGTATCCTGCGGGAACAAATGGCGTATGAACCAATCGTTGGTCACCGGCCACCATGGAACTGTATCTCCTGACGTTGGTTCACTGCCTTGTGGGTCAGACGTTTAGGTCAAAGGCTCGTGGTGTGGCCCCGTAAGAAAACTACCAACTTCGGTCTGGACACCCGGGAAGTATCACAGCCTTCACACATATCAAATGAGATCTGTGTGGCGCATATATATTTGGTACCTCCTTGTACCAATATCTATGTGTTAAAATAAAATAAAAATAAACATAGTTAAATTCACAGGTACATAACAAATAATAACTTAAGCTACTTGTTTACACTATCATTTTAGTAACACGTCTTCTGAATCTAACACTATCAATAGACAATAATTTCGTTTGTTAGAAGTGTGATATATAAGTAAAAAATACGACTAGTGTACCTGCCTTTAAATTTTTCCCGCTATTCATTTGAAAGCGAAAATGTACATTCATTTGATTAAATCGTAACGGTTATTCGGCTGTAATTTCCAACTCTGACATCGCTAGTCAGAGTGATATGATCTGACTTTTATCGCAGTGTTGGTATTTTTATTATTGATATACACGTTCAGATACATCCAATTTTTATTACTTTTGACTAGGAAGGAAATAGAAGTACCCACATATTCATCATACTAAACATAATTACTAGTTATTTCAGATTAATGTAGTTCAGTTTGGTGCTTGTGCTCCAGTTTTGAAGAGTACACTATTCAAAAGGTAAACACCTGTGGAAACTCTATTATGAAACAGTAAATTTATCCAGTTGACAGTAACAAATATGTCAGTACATCCATATATTGCCATTAATGTAGCTATTATTCGTCAAGATCCTGTAAAACACATCATCGCATATATCATTTGGCACACTTGTCTTTCTGTGCAAATTAGTCCAACCGATTTCTCGATGGTTATCACGAGACGGTTTCTATTTTTTTTATAAACTGGAGCGTTCAGTGTCTGAGATCAGTTATGTGGCATTAATTCCATTTTCCAGACCTTAACTAAGGTCTCAGTCAATCTAATTTCTAAAACTTAATTATTATCCTTAAAGATCTTCGGATTTAGTCCATCTGATTGCGGTGCTGTGCGTTTCTCCAGATTAGCTATAACCTTTTAAACTTCAATAATAGTCTGGGGACTTGTTTTAATCTCCAGTTCCGATTATTTTGGAATAGTAGATAACTCGGGTAGTTCTGGATATTTTGTCTGTGTCGCCTTTGTTGTGTCCTCGGTCTTACTGTTTATATTTGGAAAAAGTGAGCCCTGTGAATTCCCGTGACGCGAAGTAAGAACACGAAAGACTGGTGCAATGAAGATTTATCAACTCTATAAAAAAGTTCAAAAAACATCCTCATTAGACCAAAATATACTCATTTATATACTGATTTTTACACACGGTAGGGAAAATAAGTAGAGTTACTGCGAAAGCATACATACTAAGTGTAGTTCACCTGAATTGATACAGGAAGTATAAATGTCATATTAGACGACAGTCCACATTTACCATATTTAGCTGAGCTCATACTGAATTGGTACAGGAAATATTGACCTAAATTGATGTCACTTTTTTGTCCCATCTGAAAAGTCTGTTATTACTTATCGCCTCTACCTTCACCTATTTGGCTTTCGCTGCCAACCACTCCTCACGATCATTTGGTAGACATTTTGTCCGTCTAAGTCTAAGTTACCTTTGCCCCTAATCGTGTTCGGAGCCTGATGGGGATGAGTTTCTGAACATGTACCAATTCAGTAGGTGTCACCGAAATCCACTGATTTAGCACAATAGAAGTTTAATTCACACTGTTATTCTTCTATTTCCGAAAATCACTGTTCAATATTTTAAAGCTTTTTTTCATCCTAATGGGCCCATTAGGATGGAAAATAGCTGAGCGAAGTGGAAGAAAAATGGTACACCTAATGATAACGGATGCACACTACAGGATCCGCAAATACCAACACGTCATAGAGGACCAAAAGATGAAGCTACAAAGGAAATCTTGACAACAGCCATCGAGATATCATGCAAACGACACAGAACAAGGAAGAAACACCCTAAAGAAAAAACTAATCAAGATCTCAAAACACCCATGGAAGAAAACACAAACAACTGCGTGATCAATCTGTCAAAACAACCACTAACAAATACGGAAGAACACCTACTCCAAAAAAGGATTAAACTACAATACAATCGACGCCTCAAAGCTGGAATTCTTCGCACCACTAGAGTCATCACTCAAAACTTCCGGAATCAGTGAAGAAACACAACAGGAAATAAGACAAACTATAGTACCGCTAACCCAACAGGTGAAGGAAAACAGCCAACTGACTCCACAAGAACAAAAGACTTTGAAGGAACTCAGAAATAGAAAGGATATTGTCATATTACCAGCGTACAAAGGACGCACCACAGTAGTCATGGACAAAGAAGAATACGTCAAAAAAGCTGAAGAACTACTTGAAGATAAGAGCACATACAAACTATATTTTAAAGCTCATATAACAACTATCTTGTAACTAATTAGGATGTGAGGTCGTTTCATCACTACCACTGTACATTCTAGGCCTTTGAAATAAAACCATCTTACTGATTTAATTACATGTTGCTGAAGATATAAGAAGAGATGTATATGCTAATCAGCCTTTAAAAATAGGTTCCAGTCTCCTTATTTGTTACCATTCTTATTATTATAAGGTTGATAGCTCGATTAATCTGCGGGTTTGTGTATTCAACTTACCTTTTCTTCTTTAAGATTAAACAGGTTTTCCGTTTTCTAATCATATATTCAGAATTTTTTATGTAGATTTCTGCCGTAAAATCTCGGATCATACTTTAACTTGTTTTTTGTCTATTGCTTATCTTTCAGACAATCCATTTGACACTGTACAAATCAAACCAAATCCCAATGACCCTGGCGAGAATACTCTATATTCTGCTACAGATTTATTCTTGTTCTATAAACAAATCTTAAAACAAACTCTCCAGTTGAATCGGGGTCATGGTTTGTTAGGACTTGTTCGTCTTTTAAGGCAGTATTTGTCTGAATACACGGTTCGTGTGCTCTTGGCTCAAATTCCAGGCTTAGCGATTACCAATACTAGTGGAACTAACGTTGGTTTATCTGCACCGGATGTTGCAGCGAAAATGGCGGCATTCGGTTTAAGCAGTCTCTCAGCTCTTGGTAAGTTTGTCATATTTCATATTATTACGTAATTGCAAATCATAGGACTTGGTCGTGGTCAAACGGGACTCGGTGCAGCTCTAGAAAATATTAGGACACAAACAAAAAACAGTTCTGCGCAATCTGATCTGATAAGTTCATCAAGCAACCAGGTGATTAACAATTTACTTCGTGATGATGTACAAGTAAGCTCTTATTTATTATGGTAATGGTACATTTATGTTTTAAGTTATCCCGTTGTCTAATTGATAGTTTACTACATGGAATGCTTAGTGTTTATACTTCAAAGAATTGTTTGAGAATAAGATTTTTCGACAAAAATGTCAAGGGATACCTTTGTACTCTCTCTAAGTCAGTCAGTCATTCAGCTACAACGTAGGACCAGGCACATATGTGCATCGGTCCAGGTTGCCATACCGCATCAGCACAACAAGATGAACACTGGATTCATAGCAGTGGTTAGGTCAAAGGTGGTAATATATAAGAGAAAGATTGCATATAGAGATATAGTACAAAAAGAAAGAATTGGTTCGTAGAAAGAAAGATATGAAGTGATTTTAATCACTTAGTTTAAGGGAAGACAGGGAGTGTATACACCGACGCCATTGTGATCGATTCTGAGCCATGTCACCAAGAGTCTCCAACCATTGGTTACGATAGTCACGCGGACCCCAACCAAGTAGTCTGCATGGCTCAGACTAGAAGTTAGTGACTTCAAGCACTGATGCCACGTTTTGGTTTGGCCGACCCTAACTTTCTTCCAACCATCCCGAACACCGGATAGCATTGCACGTCGTGGTAATCGGTGTTCAGGCATACGTAACACGTGGCCCAACCATCTCAGTCGATGAAGATTCATAACCTCATCAACTGATTTACCATCATTTCTTAATACCCTGCGTCTGGCCTCACTATTACTTATCCGGTGATCCCAGCAGACGCCAGCAATATTTCTAAGGCATCTGTGGTCAAATACAAGCAGCTTACGAGTGTCTTCTACTCTTAATGGCCATGTTTCGCTGCCGTAAAGTAAAACAGAACGGACTGCCGCGCAGTATACTCGTCCTTTTATTGATAGACGGATATCTCGCCTTCGCCATAGGTGAAGCAAGTTGGCAAAAGCCAAACGAGCTTTTCGAATCCGTGCTGAGATTTCGTCAGACACCAACCCATTAGGGCTGATCAGACTTCCAAGAAAAGTGAAGTTGTCGACGCGTTCGACTACTTCACTCCCTATCTTTAGTTCAGGTGTTGACGCAGACCAGTCCTGAAGCAACAACTTGCATTTAGAGGGAGAGAAGCGCATTCCAAACATTCTGGCATTGTTGCTTAGTGCTACCAAAAGGCTCTGCATTCTATCAGCGTCTTCACCAAACAGGACTATATCATCTGCGTATTCTAAGTCGATAAGTGGACCTCCTGGAAGGAGATCAATACCCGAGAATTCAGTAGACAAGAATGTTATTTCCATCAGTAGATTTATGATGAAGTTAAACAAAAATGGGGAAAGTGGACAGCCTTGACGGACATCACTTGAGGTTGCAAAAGTAGATGACAGTTCGCCATAAGCTCTGACTCGACTAGTAGTGTTCGAGTAAAGAGCCTTTACAAGGTTTATGTACTTCTGGGGTACGCCTTTCAATGACAGACACCGCCACAGAATTTCGCGGTCTACCGAGTCAAATGCTGCTTTTAAGTCAAGAAAGACCACAATTGTCGAACGCCGATAAACATACCTGTGTTCTAGAACCTGATGAATGGTGAATATGTGGTCGATGCAGCTACGATCAGGTCTGAAGCCAGCTTGATTTTCTCGTGTTTGCAGTTTACGAGTTTTAGTTAGGCGTCCGATGATTATCGAGGCTAGTATTGTAGATACTATATTAGTTAAATTAATCCCTCTATGGTTGTCACAGGATGATTTTAACCCTCTCTTATATATTGGGACAATCAGTGATTGTGACCAGTTAGATGGAATAACGTCTAACTCCCAGATCTTAGGTAAAATATTAGTCAACCTAATCGCTAAAATTGGACCACCATCCTTAAAGACCTCTGGAGCCAGTCCATCTGGACCAGCTGCCCTTCCTCGTTTCAGATTAACTATAGCCTTTTGAACTTCTGCTGGAGTTGGGGGACCTACTTCAATGTTCCATTCACAGTCTGGGAATGGAGGGTAGTTGTAGAGTAGCTGAAGGCCAGTTGAACTGTTCTCTGAAATGTTCCGCCCATCGTTCTAAGCGTCTGGACTGGAAGCAGATGAGAGTATCGTCTTTTTCCGATATAATCTCAATTACACTTGACTTATTAATTCCAGTTTCTTTTATTAGTCTGTAAAGCTGTCTTGTGTTCCCTATAGTCGCCGCCTTTTCCATCTCTTTTGTTTTCATTGCCCACCACTGCTCACGGTTGTTCCATAGACTTTTTCTTAACCTAGATCTGATTTGTTGTCGCTCTTCATCATGTTCGGAACCTGATGGGACGAGTTTGCGAGAATCCATCAGTGTGATAGACTTTGAAGAAATCCACTAGTTCGTTGTAACTCTGTGGTTTAAGTTGCCAATAGATGTCACTGCTGTTTCCCCAGCTGCTTGTATATCTTTCCAAGCAACATCTGGGTCAGCCTCGTCTTCAGAACTACCTAAGTGTGACCTCAATTTTTCCTGGAACCTACTTTTGGTTTTCTCGTTACTCAACTCAGTCCTAATGGGTCTTTTTAATGTGGCCTTTTTGCGTCCAGTGAGGCGCAAGCAGATGTGTGCCCGTATTAGGGCGTGATCGGAGTCCAAGCAGGTACTCCAGAATGAGCGACAATCTTCTACCGACCCTCTCCAACGATGACTGATGGAAATATAGTCTATTTGAGTCCATCGTTGGCTTGGTTCAGGCGGTCGCCATGTTAGACGATGTCTCTCCTTATGCTTAAACTTTGTGTTTGCTAAAAATAAGCGATTGTCTGAGCATAGTCGCAGCAGATGGCCACCATTATCTGTTCGCTGTGCCGGAATGCTAAAATATCCACCTAAATGCCTTTCTGTTTGGTTTAAGCTACCTATCTGAGTATTAAAGTCACCTGCTACGAGTACCATATCTGAGCGTTTACCTTTCTGAAGAAGTTCGGACAGCTTTCTGTAAAATTCATCTTTCACATCATCTGAGCTGAAGTCAGTGGGAGCGTAGGCAGAAACGACGAAAAGGCAACGACGTGTGTCCCTATCCTTCCGAGTTCTTACGGAGCCGTTTAGCCGAACAGCACATAGACGACTGTTGACGGGGATCCACTCTAGCAGTGCTTGTTCCGCCCTCATGCTTAGTGCTATGCACCCACCTTCCAGTCCACGAGAACTGGCCTTTCCGTGGGAGGTTTTTAACGTGTTAGCTCCGTTCTTCATAGGGCCTTACCGCCGGAGACGGAAATCCGTGAGGTAAGGTGAGGTGTGCATTTTTAGGGTCGACCTTTTCTAACCCCATCCCTCCTTGTGGGAAGGTAGCATCGCTGTCATGCTGGTTGTCTGAAGGAAACACCTTACTGCTGTCGCACCTCTGTACAGTCAGCAGTACGACTTCGCCTTCGGACCTTGGGTTTGTTGCTTTTAGTCTTACCGCTCTTCAACCGACCTGTCTGACATGGTAGGACCTTGAGGAACGGTTGTTCCAGCCAGTATAGCTCGGTTGCTTCATCACGATAGGCAAGCCCGACCACCACATCAAGGTAGCAACAACGGTCGGGACTCTCTCTAAGTGATGGATAATAGATAGAACTTTTTATTGAATTTCAACTTAAATAGATACTAAATTATCGATCGAGTTACCTTATTACATTTTATAAGTAAAATAATGGTGACTAATATAAATGGTGAACCTGAAGGAAACCCTACAACAAAGTGAATGGCTCAACAATTTCGCAAGGAATTACACGTTTACCTTGAGAGTAAATAGAAGTAATCACTTTAAGCAAGAAATCCCGTTATTAAAGATCGAATTTTCAAGGTGTCATAGCTAGCGGAGCTGTAATACACTAACTGAGTATATCCATTAAAATGACGGTTCATTCAGTGAATCTGGATCAGCCTTGACAATACGAATAAAAGATAAGTTATCGATACTGGGTTATGTGGCGCATTTATATCATTTTAATTGCTGTGTGCTTGTATATGTCTGCACCCGCTTCCCTGAAATGTTTATTATTAGGGTGTTACTATGGAGTTCATTCCAACTGGGATTTTGATCTATTAGTTACTTTAAATTCCCTAAAAATATCGTTTTAGCTGCGGTTTCTTAATCCGGATGGCTATTGCTTCAACCGTTTGAAGGACTTTGAGTGTGACAGGTTTTGGAAAAAAAATTACTGAACCGATAAATAATTGAAAAGGATTAGTTTGTACCGGCACTATAACCAGTTTGCACTAAATGAGCCAATAACGAACTGTTCACTTTCTTCACTAGATCTTTGCTTAGCCACGCTGGGAGGTGTTTACGAGGACGAAAATGTAAATTCCTAGAATTTCGACTTTCTCTACAAGGGCAGTCAAACTGATAAATACAAAATGAGGTGTTGATTCTAGGTAATTCATCTTTTAGACTCAGTGTAACCAGTGGGTGTGTAGAAAACACTAATCGTAGTTCTCCGGCGTCGAATGATTTTTGGATTGTTCTAAGTAATCTCTGAATTAATAGTACGTTAGCAGCGTCCCCTCTGAATTGTAGGCGCATGGACAGGGATTTCTTATTCGCCGTTTGTATTTCGCCTATTCAAACCTTCGTGATCATATATTTATTTATAAAATCTCCAGAGTATCCGTCTTCCCTAAGAGTATTACTCAAGACGCTTAGCTCTTCAACTATATCCGTAGAACGTATATACGTATTCAGTAAGTAAGAGTTTTAATCATGTTTCTTTTACACATTAGAGGTACAAAGCTAAGGAAATGTATGTACTGCCCTGTACAGTTATTTTATGTTTAAATTCCTTCTTATCGGCCCATTAGCTCCCTTGGTTAAGAGAACGTCCAGAAAGGCTAATTCACCTTCTTGAGATGTACACTTAATGGCTGAAGGTACTTCATTACATTGCCCAAGAATCTCTTGTTGTGATGTACTATCTTTACAAAGGATGAACGTTATCATCCGTATATCGACAGTAAAATGTGAATTTTTGAATAGTCTTTTTGAGTGGACCATTTTCTAGTTTGGTTAGAAAAATGTCAGCTAGTATAGAGCCCATCGCGACTCCATCCATTTTTCTATAGATTTCTCCGTTGAACTTGAAATTCACATTCATGGTGCATTTCAGTAATAACTATTTTGTGACATTGAATGGAATAGTAATTTCGATTTCATTTCCTCTAAGTTGTTCACATATATATTCTCCAGTATCCATGAGTGGAGCATTTGTAAATAATTATGTCATATCCAAAGACATCATCTTTTGTTCCATAGTATTTGCATTTTCGATCTTATCAACAAATCTGAATACATCCTTAACACTGTTTTACAAGTACAAAAGAAATATCTTCAACTGCTTCTCCTCCCTTGACCAACCCCATGGCCAATTACTCAATAGTAACCTTAGCTATGAAATTGCCTAATTTGACTACTGTACATACAACCTTTCTTAGTCAAATATAATTGTAATATTATCAGAATGGGTTTTGTGGAGATTTTTAGAAATTTCACTGGTTGAAATCATGAGTCAATTGAAGCTAGACCACCATTGAAAATCTGGAAGCACCGGACGGCCATTTCGTCTTAGTATGGAACTTCTCAACAGTGTGCACTACAATCTCCACAATAACCCTCATTCTGATCATAAAAATATGATTGTCTCTATTATCCTTATTCACATATTTTTGTATGGCTATTATTATTGGCTTAACATCATTGATCTTCCGAATACATGATTCGTTTACTTCGCATTCATTCCACTTTATCATGTCTTACTAATTTTTTTTACACATTATAGTCTTCCACTAAACATTTGATTGAATTTGTAATTGCGCTGTTATTTCTCTCACCTTATCTGACCCATATTTATTCTGATCATGGATCTTAAAATTTCACTTAACATATAAGCTGATTAAAGTTAACATTCTGTATGAGCCGTATCAACATTAACAATCCTATGTTGTTTAACAATCCTAAATTCACATGCTATAACTTTAAACGGTGCACTTTTCCCTAAACGTGGCCACTTTTCGGATTATTAATTTTGATATATAATTGTAGAACCTGGAAATAATTTATCAATGAGAATATTCTTTGTTCATGTATTAGTCTTTTAAAAAATATTTGTATACTCTGTAAGTTCGTGCGTCGTCTTAATTTTAATTGCACCATAAATCTTCACAGATAATTTACGAGCAAGATCATATTACTACTACTAATAATACGTGTTTAATATTTTTATTCATCAGGGAGTTCGACTGAGTAAGGATGATGTCTACAAGGTGTGTGTCATACTTGTTACAGCAGCATTTTGTCTGAAGACTGTTGAAGATTTAGAGAAGCGTCTAAAACATGAAGTAAGTTATAATCAGTTTTTCTTTTTGTATAAAGAAACCATGTTTATATCATTCAGTCTGCTAATTTTTTTAAACTATACCAGAAATATTATTATCGTTGTGTATTATATAGATGAAATTAAACTTTTGTTAATCAAACGTGCTAAAAGGTACTATCATTTTAAATGAATTTTCAATTCTCATAAAATATGTGGTCATAAATCTCTCCAGACTTTAAGATCATAAATGGTATCCCATATGTTTCGTCCCACCCACTTTTGTTTGGCCAACTAAAAAGAACCGATTGCGTAACAGATACACTTTCACTCAAAGTATATGAATCTATTAATGTAAGTCCATGTTTAATGCATAAGCAACCCTCAGCTAGCTAGGTTTTCAGTTATATCATTGTGACTAATGGTTTCTTGCTTAATGATTAGAACTTTCAGTTGAAAATATAGACGAAATTGAAAACCTTAGGATAATATACTAATGAATAATCTTCAGTTTTCTTTGATTGCATTTTTAGATAACGTAAAATCGGTGGGATCATTTCAGCTATTCATTGAAGGTAGAATATTCGTTTGTTGATCCCACCCTATCATTACGGTATGAACTTGTGAGGATACTTCTCCCATTTTGAAATTTCGGATCCCCTTTTAACCTTGTTTAGTGCTACTTACCTTATTTTAAAAGTTTTCTCAGATTAGCTAACTTAGTGTTCGGATTCTTTCGTTTGAAGTAGTTCATGAAGCTTTCTGTTTTACACTTGATTTTTGCATCGTGGGGTTTTTCATAGTTCATTGAGTGTACTCTGTATGTTGTTAGATTTCTAATTATAAGAATAGGTGATAAACAGTTGTTTGCAATTTATTTACTAGGCGATTATTGTCCTATTTCAATTTCATATGAGTAATAGTCGTGTTTATCAATTTCGACGTTTTATTTGTTATATGACATTCATTTGTTTACTGATTTTTATATTAGATCAGACCACCTAGCTGGGGTTCAAAAATATCATTTGCTTCTGAACTTGATGGTTTAGCAACTTGTAGATCTGTTTGTGTCCACCGCCTGGTTGCAGACTTGGAAGCTGGTGTTGAACCTCAGCTAGTCGCTATGGCACGTTTACCTTGGAATAATCTTGTACAAGTTGGGGACCAAAGCGCCTATGTTACAGCCATTGTAAATCATCTTCGCACTCAAATCCCACTGATACGAGAAACATTGTACACCGTCAGGTAATTTATCTATTTTCTGTATGTGTTAACAATGTCTTTGTCGTATACAATCGTCTTATATCTTTTTTATGCATTATTAGGCCAGCTTTTACTCAAATATGTATAAAATTTGCTGATGCATTAATTGCGAGATTCGTTAATGCCTTATATCGTTGCAAACCGGTCAATACTTTTGGAGCTGAACAGCTTTTATTGGATACTCAATCGTTAAAGGCTTCTCTTCTTCAAATGCCTCTTCTTGGAGCTAAGGTAAGCTAATATTCTATGTTGTTTTGATTATGTATGTAATTATTGACTAGGGTGCAATACCAACATTCTATTGTCTTACATCAATGGCATAAATGATTTTTTGTGTCTTTTGTCATGCATTATGAACTAACTAACAATGAAGGACTCACCCGACCGTTACTGCTACCTTGATATGGTGGTCGGGCTTGCCTGTCGTAATGAACTAATCGCGCTATATTGGCTGGAACAATCGTTCCTCAAGGTTCAACCATGCCAGGTAGGTCGGTTGGAGAGAGGTAAGACTAAAAGCAGCAAACTCTCGAAGTCACTAACTTCCGGTCTGAGTCATGCTGGTGGATGCAGACTACTTGGTTAGGGTCCGTGTGACTATCGTAACCAATGGTTGGAGACTCTGGGTGACATGGCTCAGGATCGATCATAATGGAGTAGGTGTATACATTGTTTGTCTTCCCTTAAACCATGAGATTAGAGCTGCTTTATACCTTCCTTTCTACGAACTAATTCCTTCTTCCTGTTTTATGTCATTACACATAATCTTTCTTTTATATATTACTACCATTGAATTAACTACTATGAATTTGGTGTTCATCTTGTGCTAATGAGTTGTGGCAACTTGAACCTATGCATATATGTGCCTGGTCCTAGGTTGTAGCTGACTGACTGAACTAACCATGAGTCCACTTTCTGATTATCATGTTTTACAAAATAACAGAAGACATTAACTTATAAAGCAGCACCTTGTTATTTTCTTATAATTCCGCTCATTTCCGAATACTAACGCCTAACATATAGATATCACGTTCGGTGACTTCTCAAAGTGTAAAAACATCTTATTATTATTTTCATTTTTAGTGGCCAGTGGATCTGACTCTGATTTGGATGAACGTATGTATATACTGTGCATATAAATCTTCTATTTAACTCTGTATAGTACACCTAAGCTAACCCCGTTTGTCTGAATGCGGTAATAAGAAACTAAATATGGGTTAAGCTGGAAAAGGCGTTCAGCAGAGACTTCAAGAAAAACGGCGGTTTATGTGTCATGTGCTGATTGGGTTGCTATCGATTTTATCAATTCCAGCATGTTTTCAGAGGTTTCCGAAATATCAAAGTCACACCCATAAATATTCTAATCTATTGTACCTAAACCAGCCCTGGAAATAGAAATTCATTTCATACTTCCTTTTGTTTGATATTCAAGTGCAGAAGATATTTAGGAGACTAGGAAGCGATTGAGAAGTTAGCTACAATCGTCCTAGTATTAGATATATCAGATACAAGTCGAAAGTATGGGTTTCTTGTCTAACTAATTCACTGATTTGTTTATTGTGATGTATATATCAACACAGTCATTTCCCCCAGTATTGCGTTAAAAATCAATTTTAAATGTCTTACATTTTGTTTAAATCTTTTTGCTATTCAATATTTAAGATATTTGTATTTGAAAATTAGTCTAAAAGCTTTCAATTTACATTATTTATAGTTTACTCAGGCACCTCCACGAAGCTTTACAAATCTAGTTCATGAAGGTATGGGGAAGGCGGAACGTATAATCAAAGCAGTTATGTTACCAGTCGGTGTCGCTACGCCAGGAAAGCAAGAGTCAACAACTCCTCCAAGTGGATTTGTAATGGGTCCAGTTGATACAAATGCAGCTAATGTATTTTTAGCTAGTTACGAACAATTATTACCTGATCTAACTCAAACTGATCTACAAAATGTTTTGGATATGAAAGTAAGCAATATAATGGACAACTTATCGTTTTCTGAAAATAATCTACGTTTGATAAATAATTATATTCCGCAATCATTTACTGTTTTCAAGTAATATTTACAGAAATATCACTGAAATTAATCGTTCACTGTAGTTCCTTAAATCAGTCATATTATGCGCTCCATTGGCGAAGGAACTTGACTTAGACACCTTCGCAAAACCGATATTCAGCAAATACTGAAAATAAATACTACCGATTGGACATTAAACTGATGTGGCTAAATAGATACTTGTCCGTAAGCATTACTGCTGTTAGGTTCGCTTCACTGGTGACATTTTTCAAAACGATCGTGACAGAATGTTAGACGGTTGCAGAACCGACCATTACTTTGCTATTGATTAAAGAATCAACCGAAACATGGGGTGCCCAAACCGAAGCAGGCACCCTCACACAAATCGAATGATTTATGTGGAGCATATCTGTTCGGTTCCTCTATGCACCAATGTTAACGTGTTTAAATAATAATAATAATAATAATAATAATAATAATAATAATAATAATAATAATAATAATAGTAATAATAATAATAAATCATTCATATACCATAATATGAATTAATTAGAATTCATAATCATGTTTTGATCATGATTTTTGTCCATTTTGTCCCATTTAGAATAGTCCAGTCAGTTGAATAGCTTGAATCGACTCATGATCTCAACTATTTAAATTTATAAAAAATAAATTGTTTGGTGTCAACAGTAATGATGGTTTATTTTTCTTTGTTTATTGTTGGCGACAAAAATTCGAATGTTTAAGATTCTAGATTAAATCAAGAAAATCATTTATTTTGTTGTATATTTCCTCAAAAATTAGGTCTCTTCCAACTTCCTTGTGTATTATTTTAATCTCTTATAATTGCATTAATTTGGTCTATTGGTAGATATTTTGGCTTTTAAAATGTTGCTGCCTTTGAATTTATAATAATCCAAAAAATGTAAGAAATCTAATTATTGCAGTCTGTGTCATGCCACGTACCCAAGCTGGTAAACTTCCTAAATTTACACGGTCTGAATCGAATACTGACAACTTTGTAAAGTGTTCTAATGTCGCAGATTGAATATTCTTAGGTTTTTCTATGTGCTTTGTAATAAGTTTAAGTCCTTGTTCAAAATCCAGTTGACTTGGAAAATACAGCACGCTGTTAATTTATTGAAGTACAGTAGGATTTACCTGTAATACATTTAAGACCCTTTATCCGAATACTTGACAAGATCTATATAATTCTCTTCCTTACTGTTTTCTGAAACAAGTGTCGTCGCGAACTTCCCAGTTAAAATCTTTCATTTTATTTGCAAATCAATTAATTAATACTATTGAGTTTTTCTTTTCTTTTAGGGTGTGAAATTCAGTGAACAACAGTTTATTTTAGAAATATTTCGTAGTAGAAATGAATTTAAGTCAGCGATGAAAGAAAAAACACCTGAAGTAACGTTATTTTGTTCTGTTGCAGATACTGCTATCACTGCTAGCACTTTTGTTAGTACTGCAATTAGTAACGTAGCTTTGACAGGGATAACGACAGTTACCGCGACCACCACTGCTCTTACGAGTTCCTTTGTAGCTACACCGAACTCTCCAAATAATCAGCATCAAAAATCGAAGCAGTCTGTGTCGATCTCAATGAATCCATTCGATTCATCTTCACCAGTAGAAGAGCGGGAGCAAATAACAGATAGGAAAGGAAAAATAGAAAAGTTATTGAATAAAAGACGATAAGAATATTACCGAATTGTAATTTTTGAATGTTAATTTTAATGAATAATTAGTATCTTCATTGTTGCTTTAACTTCGTTTATTTTTTTCTCAACTCGGTCAAGTTTATTCTATTCCTTCTCCGTTTTGCTATGTTAAAACTTTCGCTTGTCAAAGTAACTTTTCTGTTGGTGTGTATAATTAACATCTCTCTCTCTCCATATATTTGCATGATTTATTCATATTACTATAATAATATACTACTATTATTGCCGGTTTAAAAACGTTGTACTTGGATGTTTTTTTATATCTTACTTCCTTTTATTAATTGTTTTATTACTTACTAGCTATATTGTGATAAAATGTTTGTAGGAAACTTTCTCTGTATTTCTGTTTCTGTAACCTTATGGTATGAATTGAAATACCAGTTTGTTTTCTGACAATTTTCTCAAGAATAGCATGATACATATCTACTTAGTGCATCAGTTTTTATGGTACTGTTAAATTGGTTACTAATGTTTATTTTACTGTGCTAAATAAAAACCAACATTAAAAGGTGATTTTTGCTGGTCATTCACTTAACCTCATTTTAACCAAGTAATTTAGGTGCGTTTCTCCTTTATTAGCTTAAGTTGCATCAACGTTGGTCTATGTGATTGTTCTACTTTGAAATTTTGAGTATCTAGAGCACTGGTTTCTTCACATCTTGTAGAATATTTTCATATGTCCTGGTAAATGTAGTTTAGTTTAATAATAACTAACTGGAGAACTATGAAATCAGGTGACACACCATACTCCCGTTTGAAAAAGGATACTTCGCACGACTAATTCCCTTCGTTTTCACAGGTTATAAGGTGAAATCCGAAATCTCTTAACCAGTATAAAAATGTGCTATGTAGTTGTGTCAATGACCTTTTAAAGTTGTAAAAAAAATATTTGAGGTGGTGATTTCCAGCTGATTTGTATAAGCCATCTCCCAAATCGGTAACAAACAGATAAACATTCATAGTATTTCACGCGTTGGTTTTTTTTACCTGTAGATGTCACATTCCGTATGTTAATTAGTTGATCGACAGGCAGCTTATTGTAGTCCGATATACTTCTATTGAGAAGTGTGTTACTTTGGCTTGAATAGTATAACAAGTTTTCGATAATTATACCACTGCACTTGAAGATTTTTAGCTCATCAATTTTTATCAACATTATAAAAAATAATTTGTCAGTTTGTATCCAGTAGTCTTAATGGACTTTCAATTTATAGATGAGATTAACTAGATGTTCAATCAAATCAGTTAAAATATCAGGATATTGTGGACGTTAAATAAAACCTTAATTATACAACATCAGTAACTCTGAAGTCTATAGAAAAGTAATTTTCATAAGCTCTTGATTAGTGTCTATGGAAACATGTATATAGGCAGACCCATTTATACACTGTACATAAGCTCACTTTTTCCACTGACTAATGGTTTCTAAACTTCTGCTTACATCCTAAAGCTAAAAAGAGACTGCGTGAACTATTTGTGATCAAACAATCGGACTTTTTTTGGTGATAGATTGTGTATTTGTTAAATTTTGAAAGTTACCTTTTCTCAGACATGAGAATTACTGGTTATCAAGTTTGTCGGAGATTAGGCATCATTCCTTAAGTTATGTATTTGAGATTACAAATGCTAGAAGTAAGCATAATCCAACTAGAAAAGAAGAAGGAATTTCTATTATTAACAAGTTGGATATTCGAAGCCTTGGAAAACTCAAAGAATTCCCTTATCTATATCTTTACATATCGACTAATACTATATTAGTATATGGAAAACAGTTAGTCCCATGGGTGACAAGCCACCTTTGGACCTTGTATTAATTGACCATTAAGCGTGGATATATGTACCTAAGGTACCTACTGCGTACAGACACTTGTTTGTCTATTCGCCAAAATCTATAGAGTCCGTATTTGTGGAAAGTTAGGTATTAAAGGAAACATGTCTGTGACAAAATAACCTGATAAATGAATATTTAAGATCAGTTTCGAAGCATAAACGATCAAAAAGTAAATATTAATGAAATTCCCCGACCGTAACTGCTACCTTGACGCGGTGGTCGGGATTGCCTATCGTGATGACCCAGCCGAGCTATATTGGCTAGAACATATGTTCCTGTAGGCTCTACGTTGTTACTGACTGATTAGTGAAATTCATGGAACGATGATTATTTAGTGTTCTGGTATTTCCAGTCATAATTTTAATTTCGTTCACTGATTGAAATATGATTCGCTGAATCAGTACCACGGCGTTTATTTTGAAATTTTTACATCTAAACAGCCCCATAATTATTGGCAGACTCCTGCTAAGAAAACTGATGATAGTGATAGTGAGGTTTTTGAAAAGTCAAGTTTGAACACTACATAAGTATAATTTTTTTTATGTCGTGATGATAGATTATTGCTCAAAGAACCGCATGTCGAACAGATTCTTTGGTATCACTAAAGTTAATGAATTACGTTCTGATCACACATTGTTTCAGTTATCAAATAAACAAGTCATCGTCAAGTATGGGAACATCAAAAAACTTTTTAAGTTTCATTTTTATGAGAAAAATTTGTTTGATGTCTGGTACTTTCACATAAGGAAAATGTATATCTTGTTAAAAATGTCACGAAAATATGTCAGTGAGGAAACTGACTGATACTTAGGTTACAGTCAATTTCATATCATACAATACATTGTTTACTAACTGTTCTTGACATCCGATGGTTTGCTGAAGCAAAATAATAAATGCTTGTTATATCCACAAGATGAAATATTGTCAAGATTCTGTTAGTTTTCTCAAACCTACAATCTAAATTAATTCAAAGGAAAGTTCTGATAATTTTCAAGTCAAGTGTAGACTAGGTGAATTTCAGTACAAGGCCATTATTTCACTTAGGATTAAGATTAACAGTTTTTTTTCAAATGAATTCAATGTAATTTTTTGTGTTGAATCGGAAAACTTGGAGTTGATGTATAATTGGAATTGGAAGTGATTAATTTACCAAGTTAATAGCAGTATAATAAGACAGAATAAATACCTTCATATTTCTGTTCCTTGTTGTTTCTTCATTTCTAATACACTAACAACAATAAAAGCTTCCCTATTTTTCCTTATCAGAATATTGTCTTCATCATTGTATTGATGGTGTACATACACTAATCTGCACTTATGTAGGGTTGCTATTAAGCAGTGACTATAAGTAAAACCGTTTTTCTTATAATTTTCTTAGGATTCTTAAATTTTTTAGTGATCTCGAATTGATCGTATTTCTGTTCAAATCAACATTCAAATGTAACCAATAATATTACAGCGTACACAAAACAGTGTGATAACCACTCTGGATAATAAATCAGTATTACCAGGGTAGGTTAAGGGTAAGAACAAATTGTTTTTGAACACAAAGGGGGTTTCAGTTTCCGTATAGCCAAGGCTTCAATAAACCTTAATATACGCCCTTGAAAGCTTTTGTACAACACTACAAATTCTGACTTGATATCAACCTTAAAACCAGTCTCAACCAAATGTTTCGCAATGGAGAAAGATGTCTGTCTATCCTGTGATCTTATCTGACCGTTGGAATTCATTTGTTTTTGCAGCCATTTGGGTATGTGTTTCTCCACCCTTACTTGCAGATCTCGATTGCTCCTCCCACATTGTTTTTGTTTACTTTATTTTTCTTTGTTATGGCTTACCTTCAATCTGTCTAGTTTACCTTTTAGTTTTCATATAATAATGTCTTAACAAGTATATGTTTGATCAGATTGTTCTAAATGTTTTAAGCAAATATATCACATAATCTTGATAACCTTTGTCTTCTCATTGCATTGTCGAAATTTATAAAAGAGACTAATTGTTTTGAATATTCCATCGTGTTGGGCGTTCTAGCTGTATGTGATTTATCTCGGTAGTTTTCGAAAAATTGATTATTCTTCAGTGATATAACAGTGCACTATGATAGACTTATGAAACATTTATTATAATATTGATACTAGTAGTAGTTTTGTGTTAATGCTTCTGAGTTAAGTATTGGTAAAAAAACATTCACTTCGTGGAGGCTAACACTGATAAAATCATACAATTAGATGGATTATATATATATATATATATATATATATATATATATATATATATATATATATATATATTTATATATATATATATATATATATATATATATATATATATATATATATATATATATATATATATATATATATATATATATATATATAAATTGCGAACCGACTGGTGAATGAATTCAAGCATACGTACTATTGACAGTAGCAGATTTAACACAGAGCTATATCTCAGCTTTTCGGTGGAACATAAATATGACAGCCACTTCAGATTCTTTGGTCTGAAGATGAGGAGAACAGAACTGCCAATTATCTGTACTTAAGTTTAGAGAGATCGTCAAACAGTTCTTTATCTTACAGATGGTGAGTAAACGCCAGTACTTTGGGGAGAACAGTTTTCTTGTACCGTAATTCACCTTTTGTGTTCCAGTTTAAAATCGATCAAAGTTAGTCCGAGGTTGTTTTAAACTCTATTTGTCTTTTCATGTACATTTGCCAAAGCTATTATTAAAAAATAACAGAGATTGGTGTTGACTGGGTTTTATGCATATACTTCAAAATATCTAGGATTCAGGTAAATAATGTTCCGATTGGTGAATAGCGATAAGACAGAAACACTGCCAGTCTAAATTAATCAAACGAATTTAACTTTACTTAAACGTTTTTAAACATCTACAATTTGTTTGTTATCTCTATTTTTAACTGTGAAGTAGTATTTTATTCTGCTCGTTTTATGTTTAAGATCCGAATGTACTTACATAATAACTGTCATCATTATTTGTGTTATTACTGATACTGTTTTCCTTCTCATCTAAAACTAAATTCTTCTATCAACTGCACATGAGTTTATAAGTTTGTTCAAATAAGGGTTGTACTATCAGCCATATTCAATACACTAAGTTGATTAATTTATTAGTTCACTTTTGAAACGTTTGATTTCAGAATCAGCTTAGCAAATTAATGAAGTAGTTTTTTATTTGTTTGATTGAAAAATTACATATTTAATATAAAACAAGCAAGGTTTTCGAGAAATCTCATAGACTTAACGAAAAAATCTAGAGCTAGGTTTATTGAATAACCGAATTATCTGCTTGAATAAAGTTTTAACAAGGAAACGCAATCAAGTATAGGATTTCTTAGTCACGGTTCCTAAACAATTCTTCCGTTGAATAAACGTGGGATTTGTACTGAACAGCATATTTATAAAAGATCTTGAAAGTTATTTTATGCACTAAAGATCTGCATACTGATAATCTAGTTAACGGATACGTTAGAACACTTTCAAATAATAGGAATGAGTGTTTTGTACTAAATTATATAGCTGACTCTACTAATGAATATAACTTTACTCATCTTGGTGTTCAGACAGATTTTAGATTGATTATGTCATCCTGACTATGGGTAACGTTATTTTACGAGACATTTCATGTTTATCAAATTTAATAGTAATGGTTTATAAAAGGAAGTAAATGCG